TTTTTGATGCCCAGGGAAACCGCATTAGTGGCAGGGGGATTCAGGAGCCAAAAAACGGCCAGAGGGGGCCCTCCTTACGGACGGGCCCCCGCCCCCTAGACAGGACAACACAAGGTGGCAGCCCTCCACAAGGGCTACCCCTGGGTCAGCAGGCGTGGACCTCTGTGTCGCCTCCAGACTCCTATTAACGCCCGATATGGGCGTTCAGGTGGTCGGGACCACCTTCAAAGGACCGCTACCTGAAAAGTCAGTTGGTTTAGTGATTGGACAGTCCTCCACAGCCCTCCGGGGCCTTACCGTGCTCCCTGGGGTTATAGACTCAGACTACACAGGAAACATTAAGATTATGGTCCAATCTCATGTAGGGACCATGGTGATTAATGAGGGGGATAAGATAGCACAACTTTTATTGCTCCCCAGTCTCCATGAGAGATTCCAGTCTAGACAACGGGTTAGAGGGGATCAGGGTTTTGGCTCCTCTGGAGAAATTTTTGAAGGACTTCATATGACTCTTGATAAAAGACCCATGCTCTCGCTCAGGGTTAATGGTAGAAATATAACAGGACTCCTGGATACAGGGGCAGACCGCTCCATTGTCTCCAAGAGGGACTGGCCTTCTAGCTGGCCCACCAATACAGCTGATAACACACTCCAAGGGTTGGGGATGGTGGCTGCCCCCCAGGTTAGTGCCGTGACCCTGCCTTGGTGTGATGAGGAGGGTCACCAAGGACATTTTCAACCTTTTGTTCTACAGCTGCCGGTATCTTTGTGGGGAAGAGACATCCTCACTCAGATGGATGTCACTCTTACATCCACCTGCTCTCCCCAAGCCAAGGGTATACTTAAGAATCAGGGATATGTCCCCGGCAAGGGCCTGGGCTCTGCCCTGCAGGGCCGGACATCTCCCGTACCTGTAGAGAAAAGGGAAGGTAGACACGGGCTGGGTTTTTCCTAGCGGCCGCTGAGGAAGTTCTCCTGCCTACTCCAATTAAGATCACTTGGAAGTCCCTGAATCCGGTTTGGGTACCTCAGTGGCCCCTACCCAAGGAGAAGCTTTTAGCGTTAACCAAGATAGTCAAAACCCAGCTTCAGGCAGGGCACATAAAGCCATCAACCTCCCCTTGGAATACCCCTGTTTTTGTTATTAGAAAGAAATCAGGTAAGTGGAGGCTGCTCCATGATCTAAGGGTGGTCAACGCGCAGATGCAGCCCCTGGGGGCGGTCCAGAGGGGGCTGCCAGCTCTCTCAGCCATCCCTCAGTCCTGGCCAGTTTATGTTATAGATCTTAGAGACTGTTTCTTCTCAATCCCCCTGCATCCAGAGGACACCCATAGGTTCGCCTTTACCTTACCCACCATTAACCAAGAAAGCCCTGATCTCAGATACGAGTGGATAACGCTGCCCCAAGGTATGGCCAACAGTCCCACTATGTGTCAGATTTACCTTGATTCCCTACTGGCCCCCCTACGCAAAGCCTTCCCCAGAGTTAGGTGCATTCATTACATGGATGATCTGCTGATCAGTGCGAAGGACATAAATAGGTTAGAGGATATGCTAGGCCAACTGGTCAAGGCCCTGAGAAAGGCTAATTTACATATTGCCCCTGACAAGATTCAAGGAGGAGACATAGTGACTTACTTGGGTACCAAAGTCTCCCCTACATCGATTTCTCCACAGAAGGTAACCATCAGAACAGATAATCTTACAACCCTAAATGACATGCAAAAGTTACTGGGAGATATAAATTGGATCAGACCTTACTTGCACATCCCTAATTCGGACTTAAAGCCCCTGTTTGATCTCCTGAGAGGGGATCCGGATATTGCCTCCCCTAGAGAGTTCACCCCAGAGGCCAGAGTTACTCTAAAAAAGATAGAAGAGGCCCTAAGCAAAGCTACATTAGAGAGAATTGACCCAGAACAGCCTTTTGAGGTCTGTTTGTTGCAGACCAGTTCCCAGCCCACGGCAGTGATTTGGCAGAAAGGACCACTTCTGTGGGTGCACCCTAAGGTTTCACCTGCCAAGATTATTGAACATTACCCGGAAGCAGTTGCTTCTCTGGCTCTGGAGGCACATAGTAGAGCCATCCAGCATTTTGGCTCCACGCCTCACGCTATTCGGGTGCCTTATACCGCTTCTCAAATAAAAATTCTGACTGCTTGCATAGATACTTGGGCCATCCTGAGATGTGTATTTCTTGGGGAGATAGACAATCAGTTCCCTAAGGACCCTATACTACAGTTTATTACTCAACATCCGGTGATATTTCCAAAAATCACCGCCCCTGCACCCCTTACTCCTGCAACAACAGTCTATACTGATGGGTCAAAAACCGGGATAGGGGCCTATGTGGTCTCAGGCATGCCTCCAGTTAACATACAGTTTGAACCAGATCAACCACAGGTGGTGGAGTTACAAATTGTACAAACCGTCCTCGAGAAGTTCCCAGGGGCCCTTAATATTGTTTCTGATTCAAAATATGTTGTCAATGCCATGCAGGTCCTTGAGACTGCAGGCCCAATTAAACCAACCTCCAAAGTAACTAACTTGTTTTTGTCTATCCAGACATTGCTCATAAATAGACACAACAAAATATACATCACTCACATAAGAGCACATACACACCTACCAGGGCCCATGGTACAGGGCAATGCGGCTGCTGACGCGGCCACTCGCCCGTTATGGATTTTCAATATGTTATCTCCAATAGAGCAAGCCCGTCAGTTCCATGACAAATTCCATGTCAATGCCAGGACGCTAGCCAACCAGTACCGCATCTCCAGGGCTGACGCGCGGGACATCGTGCGACTGTGCGGCTCATGCGCCACACACACGCCTGCCATATCAATGGGGGTTAACCCCAGAGGGTTGATCCCTGGCGATATTTGGCAAATGGATGTCACACACATGACAGAATTTGGATCTCTTAAGTATGTCCATGTCTCCACGGACACCTGTTCTCATATTATATTCGCAACTGCAGAGACAGGTGAAAAGGTATCTAATGTGATCAATCACTGCTTAGCGGCTTGGGCCGCGTGGGGCAAGCCCAAAATATTAAAGACAGACAACGGACCAGCCTATACAGGAAAAGCCTTCAATGAGTTCTGTAAGACTATGGAAGTACACTTAAAACATGGTATCCCATATAATCCTCAAGGCCAAGGAATTATTGAAAGAGCTCATAAAAGCCTCAAAGAAATCTTATGTAAACAAAAAGGGGGAGTAGGCCAGGGCCTGCCCCCAAAGGCACGGCTATCCATGGCACTATTCACATACAATTTTTTAAACCTGAACAATAACAACCACCCCCCGGCTATGGAGCATTGTAATCCATCTCCTAGCAATAAGGGATGGGTAAAATGGAAAGATGTCCTGACGGGACAATGGATGGGCCCGGATCCGGTAGTCAGCTGGAACCGAGGTGCGGTTTGTGTTTTCCCGCAGGAACCGGGACGAGAACCATTGTGGGTCCCAGAAAGACTGACGCGTGCGACAAGCCCTTCGACTGAAGACTAATCCTGTCCTGCCGGAGACCAGCAGCAGGCCTGACAGCCAGATGAACCCGAAAAAGGCTGCTTTTTTCGTTGGGGGCGTTGTCCTAGCACTCCTCAGGATAAGTATGGTACATGCGGGGCTGGGGGGCCCTGCTTCTGGAATAGATCTTCGCACGAGCCTTCTTGGCAGTCCGTGCGATTGCGGAGGTGGCACGGTAAGCAGTATACCACCTAGCGCCAAAAAAGGACCAGGGACCGATTGTGGGGATAAAACAGCATTCTCAGTTGTGTACCCCTCCACTGCAGGAGGATTTAGTCAACCATCCTATCAGTGCATACTTAAGCCTAAGGTGAGTCCCTCAGGGCCTGGTGATCTCGCCACATGTCCCTGCACTAAGTTTGAGGAATCCATGCATGTTACATGCTATACAGAGACAAAACAATGCAAACTTAAGAGTACAACCTATTGGATGGCAACGCTAACTACAACTAAAAGCCCTGTTGCCCCTAACCATATTCCCGCTGCTGTAGGCAGTTCTCCATTCATGCAGTCAGGTTGTAATGGAGAGGTTGGAGAAACGGTCTGTTGGTCTATGACTGCTCCCGTTCACATCTCTGACGGTGGAGGGGTCCAAGACCAGTACCGGCAGGAACAGGTCATCGAGCGATGGGAACAATTAAATCCGTTCCCTGAAGTCAATTACCATCCACTCCTACGCCCAAAATCCCGAGGCATTAACCTTGACCCCGCTACTGAATCCATATTAGAGGCTACCCACAAAGCACTCAATCTTACTGACCCAGGGCTGGCCTCCGATTGTTGGCTGTGTATGATGATGGGAGAATCATGGCCACTGGCCATGCCGTTTAGAGACTATGAAAGTGAACCTTACAATTATAGCACACCCTATAATTGCTCACATGGGCCTCCATTTCGGGTCCAGTTTATGGGACAGTTTAATGCATCCTGTTTCCAAAAGTACCCACAAAATAATAGTTATGATATTGTTGTTGGAGCGCTGGCAGTCGCCTCGTGTGAGTCCATAACCAATGTAAGTAGTAGCTCGCCGCTATGTGCCCCCTTTGGCAAAGTATTTGCTTGCGGCAATGGTCATGCTTATACCTACCTGCCCAGTAATTGGACCGGCCTATGTGGCCTAGCTTACTTGTTGCCTGACATTGGTATTGTCCCTGGGGACCAACCCATGCCCATCCCAGCTGTGGACACCTTTATAAAAAGACATAAGAGAGATGTACTGATTTTACCTCTCTTGGCTGGTCTGGGGATAACTGGAGCCCTGGCCGCCGGGACTGCGGGCCTAGGGGTTTCATTAACCAAATATACTCAGTTATCCAAGCAATTGATAGAAGACATGTCTATAGTTGAGAGAACCCTTCAGGAGATACAAGATCAAATTGATTCCCTTGCAGAGGTTGTTCTGCAGAATAGAAGGGGCCTAGATCTACTCACTGTAGAGAGGGGAGGTATCTGTATTGCCTTACAGGAAAGATGCTGCTTTCATGCCAACAAGTCCGGAATCGTTCGAGACCGATTAAAGAAACTGCAAGAAGACCTAGAAAAGAGAAGAAAAGAACTACAAGACAATCCCTTTTGGGGAGCCTGGAATGGCTTGCTCCCCTATATTTTACCATTGTTAGGTCCCCTGTGCTCCTTGCTTCTGCTCTTACTTATAGGACCATGCTTGCTCCGATGGGTCACATCATTTATTAATGGGCGCCTTGCGGCGGCCCGGCGTCAAGTACGCCTGGTTGCCCATGCGGCCCTGGCAGCAGCCCGTGATGGGCACAATGACCCCCAGGCTTACGCATGGCTCGCTCGACTGGCCTACGACCGGGTCTAGATGTGGCGGGTCTTCCGCACTCCTTCCCTATTGACACTACACAGCAGGGTAGGTGAGTCAATGACGGGTAAGAGCGTGCCTCCCCAGCACGACTCAACCTAAGCCAGGCCCTACCCCATACTGCACGAAAGCCGCTGGATTACTAGAATCTGCCCAGATCTAGATGTCTCTCCGAGGGGATCGCACGGAGGGGCATGAGTGCATGCCTATGTGCATCCAGGTTCCGTCCAGTTCACTCCTGGCCCTGGAAAAAGGACGAGGGTCTCAAGGCCTTGGTGGACCCGGGGACGGCCGACCAGGGTCCAAGCCAAGGGCCTACGGTGGGCCTCAACACAGGGCATAAGCCTCTGCACTCGATCCAGGGCGGGCTGCGGATGCATACATTCATTCAAAGTAAATAAAATAGGGGGAGATGTTGGGAGCCGCGGCCGACACCGGTCGCCTTACTTGGCGGACGTAGGGCCTGTGGGTGGGAGTGGAGCCTGAGCTAGATTGCCCCTCCCATCGAGTGAGTCAAGTTGGCGCCTGCTTCCTGCCCCCTGATTGCGCTGGCGACTTAAACAACCCGCTCTGTAAGATAGTCTGCCTAGCAACAGCTGATGTTAGCCAGTCAGCCCGCATCGCGCGCTTTGAACTGATTGGCTACTGTTGCCCTATAAAAGTGAATGCCTCTCCCGCCACGAGAAGAAGCACAAAGAGGGATAGAGAAAGTCCACCGGCGAGAAAGGGCTGGTGACAGAGCGGAGGCCTCGCGGGGCCCACGCGGAGATAAATAAAGGCAAGATTGCACACCGTCAGAATCTGTCGCGTGTTCTTCCTGCAGGCCGGGAGCGACACCGACAGCCATGTCTTTCTTTCTTTCTTTCTTTCTTTCTTTTTTTTTTTTTTTGTACCAGGGATTGAACTCACAACCTCACGCTTGCCCTGCAGGCACTTACACCACTGAGCTAAATCCCTGAGCTAAATCCCTGGCCCCCTATTCTTGCAATTGGAAGTCTGTATTTATAAAAAAGCAAAAAAAAAAAAAATTACCAAAGGTTAGAAATGACCATTTGATGTCTGAGGACAGTGGCAGTGAATCTCTGGCAGTGGGCTTCTTATCTATGACAGCTCTAAAAGGTTTGTCATCACTGCCCTAGGGAGCTGTAGGAAGAAAAGAATAAAGTCTCCAGGCTCTGCCCTCAGGAAATGCTCCTAGTTTATGGTGGCTTTCTAAGAGGCAAAGGGACAGGCCTTTCCAGGCACAGGCAGGCATCCAGGAATGGTAACTGTCATTTGGACGAACTTCAGCTCCAAAGCGAGCCCACTTCTGACAAAGGACCTATTACCAATGTTCCTCCAAGCCCTGCTCAGTGTGACAGATGCCAACAGGTCCCCTCAACTCCTTCCAGATCTATCCTGGGGACCCAGCCTGAAAGGTGGAAAAACTGGGAAATGAATTCAGGAAAGAATGAGTGGATGAAAGGATGGAAGGGTGGGTAGATACGGGAGGGTTAAGATGTGAAGGCCACTGAAAACTCAGGGTGAAAGAACTTATGCATTTTAATGGTGATTAGCATGCTCTTTATTTGAAATAATTTCATCCCCCATCTGCCATGGGACATAGGACCATCAGCTGCATGCAAGGTCAGGCCCCCTGAGCTGGCCCCTTCCACATCCCCAAGGTCCCACTGTCCACTGCTGGACACAGGACCTCCAGTGGCACCACGCAGTGCTAGGCCAAGCCAATCTCTTCCACATCACTGCCATCCCACCATTGCCCTCTGGGAACTCCCCAGTTCCTGGACCTAGCATTGCTGTTGATCTTTGGCTCCCATTCCTCCCCCCAGAACCTTGGACTTCAGTGGATTAACTGTGCTGTGTCAATGTGAGACTCAGTAACACCTCATCCAAACAGAAGACCTCTGCAGGCTTCCATCAGTGTGGTGAGTTTGCCCCTACACTAGGAATAGAGTTTGCCACCTTCACTGGGTAAATAGGAGCAATAGCCAGGCCCCCTCCAGAAGTAGAACGCTAGTGAGCTTGTTGAGAATATGGGTGAGTCCTTCGTCCACACAGAGAACATCAGGTAGGTTGAGGAAGGTGCCAATAAGGCCTCCCTCAACCTGGAGAAAATCAGAAGGGCTTATGGGACACCCAGTGACACAGCAGGGTCCCAGCTGGTACAAACACTATAGACAGGGAGATCTGGTGACCTGGAACAGCCTGAAGACTTAGTAACAGCAGGAACTAACGGTTGATTTACATCAATACTCCTAGGTTTGTCATCCTGGGAAGAATGCAGGACACACCCATCAGGCCCCACAGGAGGAATTCAGGTGACTGCCCCACCTCTTCACTGGGGCACCCAGCAGTTGGACAAACATCAGTCACACAGTAGGACCCTAAGATACACACTACCGATAGGTGAGAGTAGTGAGATTCAAAGACCAAATATTAGCTGAAAATGTAAAACTGACAAAACCAAAATGCAAAATCCAATTGCAAACATCTAGTTCATCAGGAGCAAGTAAAGGAGACACTGAAACAGAAGATTTTAAATGCCACATACTGGAAATCTTTGAAAAGATAGCAAGTGAAATAAAAAGACAAATCCATGAGGCTATAGAGAAAATCGAATTAGAAGTACTCTCCCATGTAAAGAGAAAAATAACAATCTTAGTAAAGGAGTTGCTCAGCACCCCTAGAGAAGAAATAGACAAAAAAGAAAGTGAAAGAGCATGGGAAGCTGATTGAATCCTTGAATGAACAATATAGAAAGCAAGCAAGAATTCATGAAACAAACTCAAACAAAGAGATATTCAAGGAACAAAAAATTCTATTGAAAGCTGGCAAAACTGTTTAAATAAAGCTTAGGATAGAATTTTGGACCTTGAGGACATGATCGCAATTAGTGATTATGAAAGGCTAAAACTTTTAAAAATAACAAAGCAGCATGAAATGACAATCCAGCAGCTTCAAGATGATGCCAAGAGAAACTCTTGTAAGACTCATAGGCATCAGTGAAGATTCAGGAGTCAATGCAAATGACATAGGTAAACTATTCACAGAAGTAATAGCAGAAAATTTCCCAAACATGGGGAAAAATCTGATATGCAGATAAGTGAGGCATATAGAACACTAAACAGTCACAACCAACATAAATCTATACCCAGACATATAATAATTGAGATTCCAGACATACAACATAAAAACAGAATACTAAAAGCTGTTAGAGAAAAGACACAATTGACCTATCAAGGAAAGCCCATTAGAATCACAGCAGACTTTTCAGCACAAACCCTCAAGTCAAGATGAGCTTGGAGTAAAGTATTTCAAGCCTGAAAGAAAACAACTTTCAACCCAGATTGATGGACCCAGAAAAACTTTCATTGAAATTTAATGGAGAAACAAGGTACTTCCAAGACAAAGAACAACTAAAGAAATTTATGTCCACCAAACCAACCTAGAAAAAGACATACTAGATAGACATAAAAATGACCACAATCTCCAGAACAACAACAGAAAAAAATCACCAGGCAGGACAAGCAATTAAATAAGGGGGAAAAGCAGAAAACAAACAACTGGAATGTAACATGGCAAAGTTGAGCACATATATATCAGTTATATCCATAAATGTAAATGGCCTCAATTCACCCATTAAAAGAAATAGGTTGACAGAATGGATCAAGAAACAGGATCACACCATATGCTGTATACAAGAAACACATCTGACTCAAAGGAAATTCATAGATTAAAAGTCAAAGGATGGAAAACGGTATTCCATACAACAGGAATCCAGAAAAAAGCAGAGTGACTATTTTGTTTGCAGACAATGTGAATTTCAAACCTAAAATGATTAAAAGAGATAAAGAAGGTCACTACATACTTGTTAGTGGAAAAATTGAAGAGGAAGAACTAACAATTATAAATATATATGTACGCAATACAGGAGCACCCAACTATATAAGGCAAATACTAATGGACATGAAAAATCTAATACACAAGAATACAATTATAACAGGGAACCTTAATACCCTATTGTCACAAAGAGATAGATTAACTAGACAAAAAGACAGTAAACAAATAATAGAACTGCATCATACCTATGAGCAAATGGACTTAGTGGATGTTTACATAGTATTCCACCCAACCACATCAGAATACATATTATTCTCAGCTGCACATGGGACATTCTCCAAAACAGACTATATAATAACCCATAAAACATTCTTAAGTAAATGCAAAGGTACTGAAATTATTCCATGCAAATTATTTGACCATAGTGCACTGAAATTGGAAATTAATGGCAAAAGAAATTGCAAAACCTGCATAAATACATGAAAATTAAATAACAACCTGCTGAACAACCAGAGGGTTACAGACAAAATTAAAGAAGAAATAAAACAACACAACTCAATGAAAATATGGATACAACATACTGTAATCTGTGGGATGCAATGAAAGCAGTCTTAAGAGGAAAACATATAGCAATAAATTGTAATATCAAGGTAACAGAATAGCCCAAATAAACAACCTAATGCTACATCTCAAGCTTCTAGAAAAAGAAGAGCAAGTTAAACCCAAAGCTCATAGAAGAGAGAAAATTGTAAAAAAACAGAGCAGAAATTAATGCAATTGAAACAAAAAAATACAAAGAATTAATGAATCAGAAAGCTGATTTTCTGAGACAATAAACAAAATTGATAAACCTCTGGCTAACCTTGTCAAGA